GGCAGGAACAGGGTGAGTTCATCAGGTAACTCGCGTTCTGTGAGCCGTTTGACCAGTGTATTAATTATGAAGTAGTCTCCCTCGTAGAGTCAGGTGGCAGTGCAAGCCTTCAGGGGCCTTTCCACTTAATTATAAATATTAATTTGCATGCCAGCCAGCGCCTTGCCTGCCCCAGATTTTGGGCTGAGATTAGTCTGTCTCAGCCTGTGCCTCTCTCCTCCCAGCACACCCTTTGCTGGGGCAGTTTGTCTGTGTGATCTTCAGCAGTGCTCCCCGAGGGGAATGCTCGAGAGGGGCTTAGTTTGGGGTCTGGGGGGGGTGAATCGAGGGTCAATCTGATAATTTGGGGTTCAGCCTTTGCTTGGAGTCTGTGATGTGAAGCTTTTTGCTGTGTGTCCTGTTCCTTAGGGCTGAGGCTGCGGATGGGATGGGATGGGATGGGATGGGATGGGATGGGATGGGATGGGATGGGATGGGATGATGGGGATGGGATGGGATGATGGGAGCCCAGCAATGCACAGGCACAGGGGCCCGCAGTGGCTGCTGTAGAGTGGGATAGTGCCCAAATTCAGTGTTGACTTGGCGTGGGCAGCGTCGCCGAGCATCACTCATGCTTTATTCTGCACGCTCCCAAAGCGCAGGGAATCCTTTAAAATGAGATTGCTCTTGGGGTTTTTTTTTCCTTCTTTTGACCCTCGGGGGAAGAGATCTAAAGGTGCAGATCTTCAGCTAGAGGTGAGGGCGTGTGCTCTGCTCAGCTGCTGGGAGCTGCTGGGGGCTGAGCCCAGCAGAGCCCGCAGGTGTGGTGGCCCCAGCAGGAGCTCGCCCTCCTCCCCAGAGCTTCCAAATAAATAAAATCAAATAATCATCCTGGTTGCAAACACAAAGCAATGGATTATTATTTTTTTTTTTCTCTCCTGAAAGAGTGTTTTTGTCTGCTGGTGATTGCTCGCTATTCAATTATACTTTGGGGGATTAGCATATATTTCCCATCCTGCCTCCTCTCTCATTTGCATCCTTCCAAAAGCTCCTCTCTGCTCTTTTCTTCACCTGAAGTCTCTCTTCCCCCTTTCTTCTGAAGTAAAACTAACCCCTTTGCCTGGGTGACCTATAAAAACGCCTTCACTTTTTTTTTTTCCCCTTCTTTTTTTCCTCCAGTACATATGATGAAAAGCATGAGATCATTGGGATTTTTATAGCCTAAATCTGGCAGCTTTTTTCAAATAACTTGGATGGTGAGATGTAATTTTAGTTTGGGTCCTTGCCTAAAAATAAAGAATAATTATTAGCACATCAGACGTGGATATTGTAAATGATCGAAAAGGGTTTAAATTGTTCTACAGATACCGGAGCTGCTGCCCTGTGGCAGCACAAAGGTCTGTCACAGTCCGAGTCCCATCTCAGGAGCTGTGAGAAACCTTAATTCAGAAACTCTAAGTTCTGGTTGATACAGTTTAAAAAAAATTATTAATAAAAGGCACGACTAGAGGGTTAATAAAAAATTGCCAGGTGAGATATGCTGAAGTTACGTCAGGGAAGGTTTAGGTTGGATATTAAGAAAAACTTTTTCACTGAAAGAATAATAAAATACTGGAATTGTCTTCCTAGGGAGGTGGTGGAATCACCATCTCTGGAGGTGTTCAAAAAAAGACTGGACTTGGCACTTGGTGCTATAGTCTAGCTGAGGTGTTAGGGCATAGGTGGGACTTGATGATCTTAGAGGTCTCTTCCAACCTCACTATTCTGTGATTCTGTGAATTCCAAAGCAGCAAGGTGTGTTTAGAACACTGGATTTATGATCAGCAGTGATGTGACCATGCTGTCTGTGCCTGGTTATCCAGGAGAGGGGATGTGTGTAACTTCACAGAAACCACAGAAGGGCTTGGGAAAAGCAGCCAGCAGCCAGGCTGCCGTGCCTGGAAGCTTGCCTGGCTTTTCCCAGCCACTTTATTAGGTCTAAGGATGATGTAGGGCTGCTCAGCCCGTGCCCAGAGGCTCTGCCTTGGCTGGGAGCAGCTGCCGTGTGCCCTGCCTGCAGGAGGATGTGCAGGCACCCGTGGGGCAGCTTTTTGTCACCGCTCGGGTGACAGCTCCGAGTGCCACCGCCTCGGTCTGCTGATCTGTCCAAACCTCCTTCCCGAAGAGCTCGTGATGTCCCCCGTCCCCCGGAGAGGACAAGGAGCATGTCACCTTGCCACAGAGGAGTCCCATTCTTAGCAGCTAATTTGGAGCGCGGGGAAGGAGTGCCCTGAAATCGCCCGAGCCTTGCCTTGGAGGCTCAGCGAGACGGCTCCGGAGCCCTTCAAACAAATCTGGGTTAGCCGAGGACTTTGCAGCCAGGTGCTCCTCCGGAGCCTGCCAGGGCTCCACCTCCATCCCGATGGGACCGCGGCTCGCTGCGATCCGCGGTGGGAAGGAGGAGAGAGCCGCACATCCCGCTGCTGCTGGGCTGCGGGACTGTGCCGGCTGCAGCCCGCATCCCTCCCTGGAGCATCCCCGGAGCATCCCCGGAGCATCCCCGGAGCATCCCCGGAGCTGCTCCGTCCTGGCTGGAGCAGCGCTGGGGCTGTCCCTGCCCCTCTGGGAGGCTGCTGGCACTCCAGCGGCTGGGACATAAGGAGCAAAAGTTGAAGGAATGTCGGAATCTGTGGTATTGATGATTCCGAGGTTGTAGAAAGTCTCTGTCTTTCTGCCCCGCTGCCAAAGCAGAAGCCATAATTCGTCTGTGCTGGTTTCAAGGTTGTTTATTCTGTTTATCTCTAACATGTTCTGCTGCCCTGCCGCAGCTCTGTCCTGCAGGGCAGCGTGTGGGGCTCTGCCCTCAGTGGGATGGTACAAACATTAAATACCACAAACTACCTGTGCTGGATTTACAATAACGTGCCAATATCTGTCACCTACATTGGACAGTGTGTCCCCAGCCTAAACCTACAGAAAAATGCCAACACCACAGTGACACATGGAGGGCATGAAGAAGGAGAAAAAGGACAAGGCACACCCAATTTCCTCCATCTTGTCCTCTCTGAACCCCTAATCTAGAAACCTAAAATTTTACTTTTGCACCCATGCCACACTTAATTATTATTTATATCAAACACTCAGAGCTTGTAATTCATCCTGTAAGATCGAAAACTCTTTAGCATTGACAGAGATCCCAGACAGTGTCTCTGGGGGCTCTGTCCAGGGGGGTTCCTGACCCCTGCCAGGGTCCCAGGGCAGCCAGGGCAGCCAGAGGGAAGCCCTGGATTCCCAGAAAGGAGGGTTTCCAGCATGGTGTTGGCACAGTGTGTGCCCTGTGCTGGCATTTTGGGCAGCGCTGATGTATCCTGCTCTCACTGGCAGGGTGGGAAGTGATGGGGCTCTTCTGCCTCCGTCGCGCTGCCGAGTGGCCGTGCTTTATCATACTTATTGATTTTGATCTTACAACCAATTTAACAGCACAGCTCTCCCCAGCCTCTGGCTGCTTCTCACTTAATTAAGTCCCTTTTCTGCTCCCCCGTCAGTCCTGTGGGCAGCAGGGGCTGGGCACGGGCTGGGGCACAGAGACTGCGTGTGGAAAGGGCTCTGGGGAAAGGGAAAGTGCCAGCAAGGGTAAAAGATCCCTGTAAATATCAGGGATAAGCAGTGTGATACACAGGGGGTGGTGGGTCATGCATCCCAACTGCTGCTGGAGGCAGGGAGGAAGAGGAGACTGGGAAAAGGAGCTGAAACAACCCGGTTTGCAGATGTGAGAGCTGCCAGGGTATCCTAGGAAACCCAGCCACTTTTCTGGAGGGACAGGTTGGTACCTGCTGTACCTCAGGGAGAGGGTGAGAGAAAGAGTGCTAATTGCTCAGCACACCAGAGAGCTGCTCTGGCCTGTAATTAGATGAATTAGTGGAACAATGACCCAATTTCCCTCAGTTTTTGGATTGCTGCAAACAACCCTGAGGTTGCTGCCTCCCTCTGTCCCGTTCTCCTCCCCATCCCCTCCTCTCCCACCCCAGCTGCTCTACTGCAACTTTTCTCCTCCTCACCCAGCACCTGGGGACCAAGCCTGGATGGGAGAGGATTTTGCCAGCATCCCTGAGGTGCAGCATCCCTGTTCCCAGAGCAGGTGCAGGGGCCCCGAGTGTTCCCACTGCTGGACTCAGTGTGCACCAGCTCCCTCCTGCCCCAATTTGTTTTCCAGAGACGGGCTTGGAAAAAAAAGAATAAAATCTTTGTGTTTTAAAAGAAAACCTCTGGAGTCCTTCCTGTGCCTGCTGGTTGCCTTCCAAGGTCATCAAACTTTCATTACTATAGATTTTGGAATGTATGCGAGGTTCTCGGCTCCTTCTCAGCAATCCCAGAGCTGGGACTCTGAGGAAGCTCCGTGTGTGGAAAAAGCCAGGGCAGCTGATGGCTGGAGGTGCTGCCACAGGAGCACGGAGGGGAGGGACTCACATCCCTGAGTGCTGCCCCTGGCCCATGTGCCACCTCCCTGGGAGGGATCCTGCACGACCCTTGAGAGCCCAAATGGGATCCCTGGGTGATGTGGGGCCATTCTGGGGTGTGGGGGGCACTGATGGGAGGCTGCTGGGGCTGGGGGGGCCCTGAGTGTCTTTGTCTGGTCATAGCTGCCCATGAATTTGGGTGTGAGCATCAAAGGAGGCTTGCTGACCTTTGGGAGGAGTTAATCTCTGTACCTGCCTGGGGACATGGCTTGAGAAGCTTTGTGGCTGTCCCAGCTGGTTTAGGAAAAGATTTCCTTGGAGAAAAGTGGGAAAAAACTGTTTATTTAACAAGCACAAGCACAAAAAATGAACAATATTAAACAACAAAACCTCTTGCTGCTCCCAAGAGATGGCAAACTCAGAGAGTCTCCTTGGTGGGCTGTAGCCTGGCTAGCTCGCCCAGGAGAGCATGGCACTCTTAATCTCAGCCTCGTGGCTTTCCCCCTGCCTGGTGTGACAACATGGCACTGAAGTGGCCACGGGCTTTCCCTGGGCTAACTCTGCTCTGTCCCTGTGTGCCCACAGCATCCTCGCCACGGCCGGGACACACTTCAACACCCACGTGGACCTGCGGACGCTGCGCGCCGTGCGCGTGCTCAGGCCCCTGAAGCTCGTCTCGGGCATTCCCAGTAAGTTGGATGCTCCTGGTCTTCCTGCCAGGGTGTCTGCATCTGTCCCCGATGTCCCTGGGGGGAGAGGGACACCTTATCCTGATGCCTTGTGAAGGCTGACCTAGAACAGAGACTAGATGTAGTTAAAGAATAAAGTAGGGATTTGTTAAAGGGCCTCAATGGATCCATCTTGGGCAGCACAAGAGCCCAGCCAGGGCTGCACCCAAGATGGACCAAAATGGTCACAAAATGGACAGCTGGTCACGGGGTATAACACTTTAATAAGTTCTGCTCCATTTGCATATTGGAGTTAATTGTCCAGTTCCAGCTCCAGCCCATGCAGTCCCACCCTGCTTGTTTTTCTCTCTTCAGCCCACGTTGTTTGTGCTCTTGGGCCTGAGATTTGGATCATTTGTCCTTGGTCCCCAGCTGGAGAAGGAATTATTTAATCTCCCTGCTCTGTGCAGAGAGCTCAGCATCCCCTGATATGAAGCCCAGACCCACACACTAAAGCAGCACAGAATGTGAAAAATACAAAAGCTGAACCTGAGGCATCAATCCCACCTTTCCATCTAGTGAGAACTCAGAGGTGGCAGCACTTGGTGTCCCCGGATGGCACTGTCCCCTGCCCAGCCTGCTCTGTGCTTGGCAGAGCCTGCTGGCAGCTCCTCTTCCCTGGCCAGAAGGCTGTGGGTGGATCCTTTCAGGACTGGGGTTTGTTCAGGGGAGATCTCTTGATTTGGTTTTTTTGGGGGTTTTTTTTGTTTGTTTTTTGTTTGTTTTTTTCCCTTTTTGTTGCAAGATTTAATCTGCTGGCACAGGGATAAATAAAGAAACTGGGCTGCAGCTGGCACCAGTCCTCCTGTCCCTCCTGCCCTGGGCACTGGCAGGGCTGGATCCGTGCCCTGGAGGCAACAAGGAGGACAGAGATCAGAGATGCACAAGCCACATCCCACCAAGTCCAGGTGGGGCAAGTTCAGGCAGGACATTGGAGCGGGGACCAGAAACAACCTCTGCTGGAGGCTGCTTTGTAGCTTGGCTTTCCCTCCCCTGCAATGATGCTTTCCTCCAGGATCCTCCTGCCCAGAGCAGGCTGTGCTGGCCCCTTGCATCTCTCTCTTGGCTGTCCATCCTCTCTGCTCCCTGTCTCCCTCCTGCCAGAGTTGGGATGGATGTGTCCCTGGAAGGGGGTTAGCGGTGCTGCTCTGAGCTGTGCCTTATCTCTCCTCTTCTCTCCCCTCCCAGGCTTGCAGATTGTCCTGAAATCCATCATGAAGGCCATGGTGCCTCTCCTGCAGATCGGCCTGCTGCTCTTTTTTGCTATCCTCATGTTTGCCATCATCGGCCTGGAGTTCTACAGCGGGAAGCTGCACCGAGCCTGCTACACAAACAATTCAGGTGGGGACAAGGGCTGGGCACGCTCTCTGTCAGAATCTGAGGTATTGATGATTCTGAGATTGTAGAAAGTCTCTGTCTTTCTGCCCCGCTGCCAAAGCAGAAGCCATAATTGGTCTGTGCTGTTTCAAGGTTGTTTATTCTGTTTATCTCTAACATGTTCTGCTGCCCTGCCGCAGCTCTGTCCTGCAGGGCAGCGTGTGGGGCTCTGCCCTCAGTGGGATGGTACAAACATTAAATACCAGAAACTACCTGAGCTGTATTTACAATAATGTGCCAATATCTGTCACCTACGTTGGACAGTGTGTCCCCAGCCTGAACCAACAGAAAAATGCCAACACCACAGTGAAACATGGAGGGCATGAAGAAGGAGGAAAAGGACAAGGCACACCCAATATTTCCTCCATCTTGTCCCCTTTGGACCCCTCATCTAGAAACCTAAAATTTTACTTTTGCACTCATGCCACACCTAATTATTCCTTATCTGAAACACTCAGAGCTTGTAATTCATCCTGTAAGATTGAAAACTCTTTTCCATGGACAGAGATCACAGACAGTGTCTCTGGGGGCTCTGTCCAGGGGGGTTCCTGACCCCTGCCAGGGTCCCAGACCTGCCAGGGCAGCCAGAGGGAAGCTCTGGATTCCCACACCTCTCCACATCGCACAAGTGGAAAAGAGTTGGGATGAGCCGTCCCTTACCTCTGCCTGCTTTGGCTCTCTGCTGTGTGCTGCAGGTGAACTGGAGGAGCTGGACCCTCCCCATCCCTGCGGGGTGCAGGGTTGCCCCCCGGGCTACGAGTGCCGGGAGTGGATCGGTCCCAACGACGGGATCACGCAGTTCGACAACATCCTCTTTGCTGTGCTGACCGTCTTCCAGTGCATCACCATGGAAGGGTGGACCACAGTCCTGTACAACGTGAGTGCTGCTGCTCTGGGTGGGGAGCTGGAGGCTGTTTCTCTGTGCTGCAAGCTCAGAAGATCCAGAGTTTCCTTCGTGGTGGAAATGGGGTTAATCTTTCCAGAATTCGGGTGTGTTCCATGCCTTCAGGCAAAGGGAGCTCTAAGGGCCTAGTCACTATCTCTGACTCAGAGAGCAAAACCTTGTGGGCATGTCCTGCAGTGATCCTCCTGCTTGAAGGCTGTGCCTGGGGAGGCATCCTTCCTCACCTGCTCCTCCTGTGCTTCCCAGGGCAGCTCTGTGAGAGTGGACACGTTTTGTGGGCATTGCAGAGCAGGCAGAGGATGTCTGGTGGTCTGGGCAAGCCTCAGAGCTGGGCTCAGACCCCTTCTGTGGGGCAGGGACAGCGTTTCAGCATCCAGCAGGGAGCTGGGATCTTTGTGCTGGTGGAGCAGGGAGTGGCTGGGCTGAGTTCTTGTGGTTTGCAGCTGCTGGAAGCTGCTGATGCCCAAGCAGTGCCCAGAGAGCAGCTTGAGGGCAAAGCTGGATAAAAAGCTCCAGGCGGTCCCAGAGTGCCATATCTCCGTGGGCGACCGGCCATATAAGCATGTTGGAGTTTGTGGGCTAGAAGCAACCGTGCCTGTTCTGTTCCCAGCCTAATTTCAGCATCAATTTTGGCGTCACTGCACCGGGAATGTTTTTACACCCTGGTTCCCATAACGCCCGGGGATGTGCAGAGTGGCATTGCTCTGCAGGAGGCAAATTGGATGGCATGTGGTGGGGAAACTGCTTCAGGAGGGACTCTGGCATCGGGGAAAGGCTGGTTTTGAACCCCAGGCTGTCAGCATTGGGGCTCCCTTTCTTGCTGAGTCTGCCAAAGGGTCCCTCTGGGGGTGCAGGATGGCGTGTGTGGACAGATGGATTGTGAAACCTAGGCTGGAGTAAAAGGGGGAGAGCTCATTGCAAAGGCTTGACCTTTCCATGAGGATTTGGTTTTCCTCTTCCTGAAGGAGAAGGCAGTGTCAGGATCTTGCTGTGTCAGTGGGGGAATTAAGCAGGATTGAACCGCCTGAGAGTTCAGGCCAAAAAAAGTCAATTTTGTGTCTGTTTCTGGTGTGTCAATGGGATCAGAGAGTTACCCACAGCACCTGTTTCCCAGGTATAATTGAGTGTATCAGGGAAGGTGCTTTGCCAGTGTATCATGTGTAGCCTGTGCATGTCTGGGGCTGGTGCCAGCCACCTGCCCTGAGCCTTGCCCTTGTGTTAATGACTGTCTCCCTGCAAAACCTGCTTCCATCAGTGTCTCCCCTCCTTCCAGCACTTGGAGCCTGCAGCAATCAGCAGCAGCACTGCCCGTGCTGCGGTCCTGCTGTGGGGTGTGAGGGCATGGGGAACAGATGGGCAATTTATGCTCTGGTGGACCTCAGGGGTTTGTTTGAGTGAGTCTGGTCTCCTGCTGCTCGGGGTGTCCCTGCTGGGAAGGCTGGAGCTGATCCCTTCAGTGTCTGGGATTTGCTGATTCATCACCTGGGTCTGAAAACCCAGGAGCTGGGAGCACTGAAAGCTGTACCTACCGTACAGGAACCCCTATTTATTATCCTAGCTGCTAACTGGGGGTTCTCTGGGACCCATGTGGGGATCCAAATCATCTTCCCAGCCCGATTAGCAAAGCTGGGCAGAGGTGCTCTGTTGGAATCTGAGGTATTGATGATTCTGAGATTGTAGAAAGTCTCTGTCTTTCTGCCCCGTTGCCAAAGAAGAAGCCATAATTTGTTTCTGCTGGTTTTCAAGGTTGTTTATTCTGTTTATCTCTAACATGTTCTGCTGCCCTGACGCAGCTCTGTCCTGCAGGGCAGCGTGTGGGGCTCTGCCCTCAGTGGGATGGTACAAACATTAAATACCACAAACTACCTGTGCTGGATTTACAATAACGTGCCAATATCTGTCACCTACGTTGGACAGTGTGTCCCCAGCCTGAACCAACAGAAAAATGCCAACACCACAGTGAAACATGGAGGGCATGAAGAAGGAGGAAAAGGACACGGCACACCCAATTTCCTCCATCTTGTCCCCTTTGGACCCCTAATCTAGAATCCTAAAATTTTACTTCTGCACCCATGCCACACTTAATTATTCCTTATATCAAACACTGAGAGCTGGTAATTCATCCTGTAAGATTGAAAACTCTTTTCCATGGCCAGAGATCACAGCCAGTGTCTCTGGGGGCTCTGTCCAGGGGGGTTCCTGACCCCTGCCAGGGTCCCAGACCTTCCAGGGCAGCCAGAGGGAAGCTCTGGGCTCCCACAGTGCTCTGTCACTGATGCCATGCCCTGTCACCACGTTCCCAATGGCCAGGACCATAAATAAGGTGCCTCCCTTCCCTGTTCCTCTGCAAAGAACCAGCTGTTACTGACCAGTTATGGAAAGGAGCAGGGACCTCCCTTGGCTTTTAATTGAATGAGAGTTTGTGCTCTTGGTATCATTAAATGCTGCTGATTCACCTTGGGGGTGGCCAGAGCTGGTGTCCCCAGCACTGCTGGGCTGCACCTCCCGTCCTCCCATGCTGCAAAGGTTGTGAGTGCTCGGTCCTTTTGCTACTTGGAGACAGAAAAATGGATTTTTGTCTCTTTTTTTAAATCAGAAGATGAGGGATGCAGTCCCTGGGGGATGCAGGAGGAGGGCTGGGAAACCACAGGGGTGCTCTGCTATCACCTTCATCACTTGGGGTAGGAAACCAGAGCAGGCTCCTGCTGCTACCAAGCATGGGCCTTGCCCAGGCCATGCCCCAGATTTGGGGGGACTCCAGTTTCCCACTGGGATAAAGATGGGGGGCTGTGTCCTTGTGGATTAACGCTGCAGGGGAGAGGGAGATGGCAGGAAAACCACTTTAGCAATCTCTCAAAGAAATCGCTTACTACAGAATTCCCCTGTGTGACTGTTATCATGATTTTAAGATCTGGTTTTATTCTCCACCATTCTACCAAGTCTGCAAGTGTGGCTCCTGGAATTTGCAGGCAGCATTACAACAGGCTAATTTCCACATGGGTTATTTCACCCCTGTGCTTGCTTTTTGCTTTCTTCACATCAGCTTTGCCTTCATGAAGTAGAAATCACAGTATGGGTTGAAATAAAAGAATTGTGAGGTGTTGTTGGTTTTTCCAGCTCCTGTCCCTGGGAGCCTGGAGGATTTAGATTTCTTTTAGAGGGGAGTTTGGCTTTGAGACTCCATCTGTGGTCTGTAACAGGGGCTAAGAAATATTTCGGTTTCCTTCTTCTCCTGGAGCAGATGCCCCTTCCCTGGGCTGGCTCCAGACCAAGCCTGATTTCTGTGGGGACCAGAGGGAAGTACAGAGACTCATTGTCCTTACTTCTCTGCCTCTGCTGGCGTGGGACAGGGATGCATTTTGTCATCCAACAGTGCTGCTGGGGCTGGGGGGGTGGCAGGGCTGCTGAGGGGCTCCCCAGGAGTGGGGCACAGCTGACACTGGTGCCTTCAGATGCTCAGCCTGGTTTCAACAATCCCAGGAAGCAAAGGGGCAAGGAGTTTGAAATCTTCCTGAGGGAGCTGGTAGGGCTCACCTTGGAGAAAAAGAGGCGCAGGGGGGACTTTCTCACTTCCCTACAGCTCCCTGACAGGAGGTTGTGACCAGATGGGGTTTGGTCTCTTCTCCCAGGCAACAGGGTGAGAAGAATTGCCCTCAAGTTGAGGTCCAGAATCTGCACCAGGTGAGGTCCAGATTGGATGTTAGGATAAACTTCTCCAAAAGGCTTGTCAAGCCCTGGCACAGGCTGCCCAGGGAAGTGCTGGAGTCACCATTGCTGGAGGGATTTAAAAGATGTGCAGATGTGGCACCTGGGGACATGGCTGAGCGGTGGCCTTGGCAGTGCTGGGTTAATGGTTGGACTGGTTGACTTTAGAGGGTTTTCCCAGCCCAAACACTGCTGTGATTCCTGCTGGCACCCCTCACAGGCTCTGAGCTGCTGCGTGTTTCCCTGCCAGGCTGAACTCTCATCCTCTCCTCACAGGAGGGGTTGGGACCAGAGGGGAGCAGGAGGGTCTGACAGCACAGGCAGCCTTAGGAGATGCCAGGGCTGAGTGCTGAGAGCCTTCTGGGTGCTTCTGCAGCACAAGGGGAGCATTTGCTGGGGGAAAGAACACCAAGCTGCTGGTGGCTTCCAAAAACACCTCCCAAAATGCAGTGACTGCAGGCAGAGCTGTGTCCATGGCTTTGGGGGAGGTGAGTCTGGGTCTTGCAGTCCCACGGAGAGCTGGGCAGCTGCAGCAGAGAGCCAGGAGGCTGCAGGGCCGTGGGTTGGGTGCCAAGTGTGAGCTGTGCGTGCAGGAGTGGCTGGAAAATGGGAGCTGCTGCAAGGATGGGGGTTTGCAGCCTGTGTGACTCAACCCCCACGTGCTTCCAGCATGCTGGAGGTGCTGGGGCCAGGAGGAGAGGATCCCCTCAGTGTCTGGGATCTCCTCTAGGTGTGGGGTGCAGGAGGGTTTTGGTGAATCTCACCATGTGCAGAAGTAATTTCGTGCTGCCAGGGGCAGGGCTGGGTTTGCACAGGTTGGCTCGGGCTGGTTTTGTGTGTGAAGCACCAAACTTGATCACAGGATCAGAGGATAGTTTGGGTTTGAAGGGGCCTTTTAAAGATCATCCAGTCCAACCCCTCTGCCGTGGGCAGGCACACCTTCCCCTAGTCCAGGTTTTTCAGAGCCCCATCCAACCCAGCCTTGAAGACTTCCAGGGTTGGGGCATCCACCACCTCTCTGGGCAACCTGTGCCAATGTGAGACCACCCTCCTTGGAAAAAATTCTTCCTTATATCTAACTTAAATCAACCCTCTTTGAGATTGAAACCACTCTCCCTTGTCCTGTGACAACAGGCCCTGCTGAAATGTTTGTCCTCATCTTCCTCACGATTAAAAGTACTGAAGATCTTCTGCTGGAGGCTGCCTTTGAAATGCAGTGGCACATCCACCCTTTTTGAAACAGGGGCTGCTCGGGCCAGCCTGATTTG